TTATTAAAAATTCCATACAAATGTTTAGATGTATAAAAATATTCAATCAGAATAGTAAATTGAGTTAGACCCATTCAACAATGATTTGATAAAAAAAATAATTTTTATATTAGCGAAAAATTGTATTCTAATATCATCTTATATCTTGAAAACATGTTCAATATAGCTTTTTTTATTAATAAAAATATTATTTTTTAACATATATTTTTATAATTAAAGAGAATTAGTTATACAAAAAAAAATTATTCTTGAAGAATTTATACTCATTTGACTTATATTAAAAATAATATATTTGTTGGTAACCATTCTTATAAGAAAGCTTCCATTATATTAAAAACACATGTTAAATAAACGAAAGTTTGAACATAGTTCATAAAAAAATTAATAATAATCTTTTATGAGTTTAAAAGAGTTATTTTAGAAACAAATAATTAGGAATTATATATGAAAATTGATGAGTTATGTGGGTAAATGCTAGGCATGGCAACGGGCCGGGCGGGGCGGGTTTTGCCTCCCAATCTCCGCCCCGACTTTTTAATCATCCCCGTCCCCGCCCGATCCCCGTCGGGTTAAAAATTAAGTCTTCATCCCCGTCCCCACTGGGTTTCGGGTTCCCGCCCGCCTGCCCCGCCCAGTCCCCGATCTATATTATTTTTAAAAAGATAATTACATTTATAATAAATTAATTTTATTATGTATTTTTTATATATAAATAAATATTTATAATATATAATTATTATTAATTAAATATACATTTTAATTTATTATATTTATATTAAAATATGTATGTAAAAAAGTATTTAATTATTATTTATTTATATATATAGAGAGAATATTTATAACATTATTATTATTATTATTATTATTATTATTATTATTATTATTATTATTATTATTATTATTATTATTGTTGTTGTTGTTGTTATTGTTGTTGTTGTTATTCAAATATTTGAATACTTATAACATTATTATTATTATTATAATACTATATTCAAACATTTAATTATATATATAAGTTAATTCATTTTTAAGTTGTCATTTAAAAATATGAAATATATAGTTTATAAGAAAATATTTAATAAGTTAATTCTTATTTAATTAGTTCGAAGTAATAAAAGTTTAAATTATCAATTTTTTTTAATCCTTTAAAATACAATTATTTTATTAAGATAAAATTTGATATATGATAAATAAGAATAATAAGATAAAAAAATATGACATAATAAAACCTAATAAATATAAATTATAAATAAAATAATATTAGTTATTATTAGGATTTATGTAAAATATTTAGAAAAAGATAAAGAAAAAAATTTACTTTATGTTCATCAAATTGATCGAAAATATTAAAAAAATAAATAAATTGACGGAAGAAATTAAGGAAATGTAAAAAACAGAAAGGTAAGAGAGAATAATGTAATAAATTAATTGATTTAAAAGATTAAAAAAGACAAAAAAATTAAAAGTGGGTAGAAGAAAAATAAAAATTGGTGAAATATAAAAAAATAACCTTATATGTAATAGAAAAAGAAAAGAAAATGCATTTAAAGTATTAATATTTTAAATTTAAAATTTAAATATAAAGTCGGGACGGGGACGAAGTCGAGGTCGAGTGGGGATTGCATTACTCATCCCCACGCCCCGCCCTCGACTTTTTAAAACGGAGAAAACCCGAACCCACCCCCGCCCTCAGTCAACTCGGGTTTTCCCCATCAAACTCGGGATGGGGACAGGTCGATCTCCACGGATACGAGTTTAATTGTCATCCCTAATAAATGCATTGTAGATAAAATGGTTCACCTCAATTATGGATTACATCTTATCTTCTTTAAGAGCATTTCAAGCGTGAGAGGAGATTTATCCTCCTAAATGTTAACATTAAAACAATTTGAGAGGAAGCATGTAATTTAGAGTTGGGAAATTATCAGAACCTTTAACCACATTACCAGACGTAAACTGGTTAAACTAATGTGTATGACATCAAAACTACGGGTTGGTAAATTAAGGGACATAATTGTAAACCTTATCCGAGTTGTGCACTTGACAGGTACATTCAAGACTACAAGACAAGGAGTTATAAAATGGAGGCTTTTAGAAGTTACAGGCGGAGAGTTCGCTCGTGTTTTGGTGGCCCCAGAAGAGGACGAGGTCTTCCAATACCAAAATCTCAACAATTACTCATACACATAATATTCTAACCAATGACGTCAAAGGCATACTAAATACAATAGCCAAATGATTATCTAGAGGAGGTAGCACAAGCTTAACTCATAAGAGACATATGATAGAAGTAGATACATCCTACAATATTTTGATAGGAAAAAGGACACTCAATCAACTTAGAGTTATTGTGTTCACACTGCATTTGGCCTTGAAATTTCTTATAATAGACGTCAATGTTTTGTTTATGAATGAGAATATCTCGATCTCATGTTCGCTATGATAACATCATTAAGTTCAATTCCCATGTTCGAAGTGTTGTCCACTTTGGAGCTATATTTTGTCACAATTTTATCCTTAAATGGTGTCTCAGTAGGCCAAGAGCAGAGTCTCACTTCACTTATACATCCCCCTTAGTCTTCGACTAGGGACTATGTTTCGTTACGTTAATGAGTCGCACATCACTTAGGAACCAAGGCTAAAGGTAATTTATATACATTCTTCTCTTTCAATCTACTTAAGCATCTTTTAAGAACAAAACTATGATGTACTAGAGCTTTAAAAGAAACAATAACTGAACATGAGAATTGAACCTAACGATTTTATCATAACAAATATGAAGTCGGAAGATTTTCATTCTTGGATGAAATAATTATAATTAGTAAGGTACATCAAATATACAAAGTCACTCCTAATTATAGGCAAGTCTTAACTGAAGTGTTACTAATGAAATTTTTACTCTTAAACTTTTAAAAAGAAAACACTCATAAAAGGATAGAATAGGAGACTAATAAATATATATATATATATATATATATATATATATATATATATTCAAAATTTACTTTATAATGCATTTTCATAATCATTTTACATTTAATACTTTACTAGTTATTTTTTCATCAAATAATATTTATTAGTTGGTCTAGTACTTTTAGATGATGATATACTCATCTGTTGGTTTGACCCATTAATTAACTTATTATTTTCATGTTCTTATTTCCTATAATATGATAAATTGTTCAAAATTTAATTATATTTGTTATCATTAAGATTAAGATAATGAGTTTGGTATATATATATATATATATATATATATATATATATATATATATATATATATATATATATATATATATATATATATATTAGTTAGTTAAAACGAGCTATCAAACCTAATTTGACTTGTCTTTATGAAATAAATAAAAATATTGATGAGTCAACCTAACTTATATTAACTATAATTTTTGTTTAATCTTGATTGGATTGAAACTAAATAATAATTAATTAAAAAAATTAGATAAAATTAAAAATAATAAATATTTTAATATTTAAGTTATATTAATAAAATTAACATTTAATTATTTAATATGTAAATTACTAGAGAAGAGATTTATTTAATTTTAAATAAAAGGTAAATATTTATTATTTATTATCATCATTATTTTTTATTAATCATCTAAAATTGTAATTCATCCTAAGAGTTAAATTCTAGTGAGTGTTAGAACTTACACTTATATTTATTTTTATTTGTAGAATAAGTAGATCTCTTATTAAATTAATTTATAATATATATATATATATATATATATATATATATTATTTTAAAATATAATTTATTTTAATTTTAATTTAAAAAATAATTATTATAATATATATATATATATATTAATAAAATAATATTAATTTTCTTTTAAAAAAAATAATAATAATTATTATTATTATTATATAAAAATTGGTCTTCTCATATCCATAAACCTATATAAACGGTCTTATTTAAAACTCATTTAAACGTGACTTAGAATGGATCCGCCAAAATTAACTTGATTCAAATTAAATTATAATTTTTAAAATCAAATCTAATATACTTTTCAAATATTTTAGATCCATTGACTAAATTTATATTAATTCATTGACTTTAAATTTAATGTTAAATATGTTTTTATTTATATTTTTTTTCAATCTTAATTTTTAACTTGTTAAAATACATGGTTTCAATAATTTTTATATTTAAATTTAACATTTAAATGATGATTTTTTTATCTTGATAAAAAAACTTAAATATTATTTTAATCTTTCTTTATATGCAAATTTAAAACTTAATGTTAATTTCTTTTTGTTATGAAGTTTATAAAAAAAGCTTAATTCACGTTAACATAAATAATAAAATTAAAAATTAAAAAAAAAATACAAATTCTATGCTTATTTAACCCGTAAGTTCAAGAGTATAATTATAGAAAATTCTTATTAATACAAATTATATGAAATTATGAAGTATTAAAATTAAGAGTTAGATCTTATATTATATTTTAAATTTTAAAAAAAGTTAATATTATAATAATTAAATTAATTCTTTAATTTATAAAAATTGAATATAAATAAAATATTATAAAAGTGTGTTGTTATAAAATCTCATTATTGGAATAAAATTTATAAAATAAAGAGTTAATGGCCTAAAAGTGATACATATACCTATCTAAGTATACTAAAATATCTTGCTTCTTTTTTCTTTTTTTTTAATAAAAAGCTTGCATTATAAATTGTAGAAGGCTGGTTGAGGCAGTTCAGAATTAGTAAATCCATGTCTTGTATTGTCTCAAAATCTAACCTATGTAATTGTTGATTGGAGAATTATGTTTTGCAAAGTTAGGTTAGTAGGGAAGTTTTGTAGGCATGACTTTTTTTGGCAGAGTTGAGTAGGATGCTGACATGCCATAAATAATTCTAAGATAGCAGTAGGGACCTATCTTTCTCAGCTACATTTCAGACCTATGACTCTGAGCCATTGTTCTCTTTTCTGCCCTATCTTGAAGCCAAGTAGAATATGACAGAAAAACAACATGGTCCCCAACCTCCCTGACCATAAAAAACACGCGAAAGCTTCAACCTTTCGGCTTTTGAAGCCTGAAAAGAAGTATATCGGAACAGAGAAAATCTGTGCTTGCTTTGCTGGTTTATTTGAACTCTGTGCCATGCATAAAGCAGACCAAAATTTGGCTCCCTTCTGGACACTCTCGGTTCTAGGTTTGCCAATCTGTGACTGTGACTGTGAGCTTTAATAATTAATAATAACAATGGATACAGTACAATATATGTACGGAAATATTCCATCTCAATATTTTATTTGAGAGATGAAGAATAGCATGATTTTAAAAGGGTAAACAAAGATAAAAGAATGTTTAGAATTTAAATATTATAGATGAGAAACTTGATCTTAAAAAAGATTTCATTGAAAATAATCGTCAAGTAAAGATTAATTAAAGATAAAATGATTAAAGTATTCGTGTTAAGAGTTAAAAAATAACTTTTGGTTTGTTTCTTATTTTTATTTAAATGTCATCACATCATTGTAACACGTGAATATGAAAACATTGATTATTCTAAAGATGTTGGTTCTACCGATCTTGCTGGGATTATATTGGTTCGATATTTCAATCCAATTTCATACATAAGATTAACTGATTTTACGTTTGCTATATCAATACACAAATTTATGATTTTATGTCTGTTGTTATGCCCAATATACAAATTTATGAAATAAGATCTAAATTAACTATAACCATAACTGAATATAGCAAGTACATACTATCAACAAATTCTGAAAATAAGAATAGAAGAATCCACATAATATTCCACCTTTCAGCACTAACCGTTCTGAGCCAAAATTCTCCTTCTTCTTTCCCTCCCCTCCCACCCCCACTACAAGAAAAAAACATATTTAGCCAACGAAATTAGCGACCGAATTTTTTCGGTCGCAATTAGTGACCGATTTAATTTTGGTCGCAATTAGCGACCGATTTAGTAACCGATTTAATTCAGTCGCAATTAGTAACCAATTTAGCGACCACTTTAATTCGGTCGCAATTAGCGACCGATTTAGCGACCAAGTTAATTCGGTCGCAATTTAGCGACCGATTTAGCCACCAAAATATGATTTGGTTTCACTTTTTTATTTAGCGACCGAAATAACGACCAATATTTTGCGTCGCAAAATTTCGATCGCTAAATCGGTGGCTATTCCATACTAAAATAAAAAAATCATTTAGCGATCGATTTAGCGATCGAATTACAAATTGAAATAGTGACCGAATTAAAATCGATCGCTAATGAGAAAATAGCGATCAAAATGAAATCGGTCGCTAATAAATATTATTTTTTTATAAATATACTTTAATTGTTTTAGTATATTTTTTACAATTTATTTTTTAAAAATAATTTAATTTTTAAAATATACTTTAAAAATAAACTTTGGTCTCAATATTAACAAAATGAATTGTAATAAATCAAATTTATTAAAAATTTAAATTGTAATAAATTAATATTAGAGTGATATTAACTATTCAATACATTGTTTAAGAAAAGTTTAATAACAAATATTCTTTAATTTATTTTTCAATTGAAAATTTCAATTGAAATTAAATTATATTTTAAAAATTTATATTAAAAAAATTAAACACATCAATTATCACATTTTAATTCCTCGTTAACTTAATTAATTAAAAAAATAAAATTTTAATCAAATTATTACAATTTTATTTTATAATACTTTATTTTTAATCTAATTTTTAAATTTATTGCTTTATTATTATTAATTACTTAATCATGGTTGTTGTCATATAATTGATATACCAAAAAAATTTATATCAATATATATTAGATAATAAATATATTATTTAATTAAACTATTTATAAAAATATATTTATCTTTAGTTAAAATATTTTTTAGTTTAAGTATACTAATTAATATTTTTTATTTTGAACATAATTAATAAAAAAGATTAAAAATTTAAAATTAATCTATTTTATAAATACTAAAAATAAACCATATTTAAATAAATGAAAAATATATTTAAATTTATATTCAACATAGTTAAGGTTGTGCCTTTTTAAAATTTATATTCAACATATATTTAAATTTATATTAAAAATAGTTAATATAAATTAAGGTTGTGCCTTTTTAAAATTTTAACTTTTTTATATATTGGATTTTCATTAAAAAATTTCTAAAATTGCATAAGAAAATAGAGATTTAATTATACTTTTAATAAATTTAAGATAATACAAGTTTTTATTTTTATTTTTAAATATTTATTTTAATTTTTTTAAAAGAGAGAAACTATAATTTTAGTTTCTAAATACTAAATTTAAAGAATTAAATTTATTATTATTTAATATTTTAATTTTAGTATTAAAAATCTAAATTATATTTTATTAAATTAAAATAATTACAATATATTTTTCTACTTTGAGAATTAAAAATATAATTAAACTAAAACTGAAAATATTATAATATATTTTTGAACTCTTTTTTATAATATTTTTATCATTATTATATTTTTGGATTAATTATTTTTTTCCTAATTTTTTATAAAGTCAATTTTAATATTTAAAAGTATTTAACATTTTGAATTCTGAAACTTTTTCTCTATTAACAAATTTAAAAACATAATATACTAAAAAAGTATTATAAATAATTATTTCATCCAAAATTTTAATAACATGATAAGTCATCAAATTCAGTATATAAAACAAATTTAACGATGGATTAAAATAGAACAACATTTATAAGAGACTATTTATTTTTATTTATGATGGATCAAAAGTGAAAATACATTTAAATTTATAATTTTATTTATGAAACACATTTAAATTTATAATTAACGAAAATAATGAAAATCTTAATATAATATGATACTTTTAGTAATGTATTTTTTTATAAATTTAAACTTACTTTTTTTAGTTTATTTTATAAATTTTATGTATTATTATTGTTAATTGATATACTAGAATAAATTTATATAAAAATAGTCTTTATCTTCAAAATTCACTTCTTCAAATACTATCTTTATATTTTTCTACTTGTTTCTTTGTAGTTAAGAAGGTCAGCATTTATGCACACACTTAAATATAATATAAAGTAAAGAGTATTTGTTTATTCTATTTTATTTTCAATCTATAATTTGAGTTTTTAAAAATGTTTATTTCCAATCTATAATTTGACGAAATCACATAGAAATGTATTATATGTTATATTATAGAAATGAAATTAAGTTTTACTTTGAAGAATATATATATATATATATATATATATATATATATATATTAAAATATAATTTATTTTTAAGTTGATAATTTTTATTTTTATTTATGTAAATTTTATATATAAAATTAATTTAGAGTTCATATATGTAATTTTAATTTATGTAATATATATATATATATATATATATATATAATATATATATATATATAATTTATTTAACATTAAAAATAGTTATATTTTTATTAATTTTATAATTATAATTTTCAAAGTATAACTTAATTTTATTTCTATAATATAACATATAATAACGGTTCCACCTGGAACCGTTATTATATGTTAACTTTTAAGAGCGGTTCAAGTGGAACCGCTATCATAGCTCATCACATATTTCATTATAATCGATTAAATTTTAAATAATCGATTATATTTGAAAATATATAATAGCGGTTCCAAGTTAACCGCTATCTAGAATATATTTTAGATAGTGGTTAACGTGGAACCGCTTATTATATACTCACTTTTAAGAGCGGTTCAAGTGGAACCACTATCATATAAAGAATTGATTATTTTTTCAAATTATAGATTATAAGTGATTAATTTCTCAAATATATATTAAAAAATTATAAATAAAAATATATATTAAATAAAAATTAAAAAAAATTATTTATCAATTATATATTATAAAAATTATAATTATATAATTAAAAAAATCTTATTTATAATTATAACTTTAAAAAAAATTATAACTATAAAATTAATGTTAAATAAATTATATATATTATATAAATTATATATATATATATATATATATATATTACATAAATTAAAATTACATATATGAACTCTAAATTAATTTTATATATAAAATTTACATAAATAAAAATAAAAATTATCAACTTAAAAATAAATTATATTTTAATATATATATATATATATATATATATATATATACTCCAAAGTATAACTTAATTTCATTTCTATAATATAACATATAATACATTTCTATGTGATTTACTGTCACATTATAGATTGGAAATAAACATTTTTAAAAACTCAAATTTTAGATTGGAAATAAATGTATAAAATTTATAAAATGATGTTATATTTTTAAAAATAAATATTAGAAAAAGGTTTAAAAACATGTATAAATTATATTTATATGTCCAAAATATTAAAGATATCTACATTTAAAAAAATACTAAAAAAATATTAAAAGTTATACTTTAAATTAATGAAAATATTTAAAAAAAGTTATATTTATTAATGTATTAAAAAATATTTTGTAATATATAAGTTAAAAAAATTATCATTAAATTTTTTTAAAATTATTAGTTTTGTAATTTATATACAATGAAAATAATATAATGGTATATTAGTATATAAATATATAAATATATAAATATATAAATATATAAATATATAAATATATATAATATATATAAATATATAAATATATAAATATATAAATATATAAATATATAAATATATAAATATATCAATATTTAAATATTTAAATATATATTAAAATATATAAATATATTTGTATCTATAGATTTTATAAATATATAAAGATATAAATATGTAAAGATATAAATATATATCTTTAATATTTTGTACATGTAAATATAATTTATATATATTTTTAAATTTTTTTCTAATATTTATTTTTAAAAATTTAATATTATTTTTAAAATTTAATATTATTTTTAAAATTTAATATTTAAATTTTTATTTTTTTGATATAAATGTATAAGGATATAAATAAATATATAAATATATCAATATATATATATATATCAAAATATAAATATATAAATATATTAATATATAAATATATCATTATATAAATATATAAATATATATATATATATATATATATCAATATATCAATATTATCCCCTCATATATTATTATACATTATTAGCGTAATTTTAGTTTAATTAAAAATTAGAATACAAATATATTATATTATATTAATATAACATTATGTTATAATATTTGTAAT